GGTGACAGGGGATGGTGCCCCAACCCCCCAATCGGCCCTACCCTGAGCGTTACTGGGGGTGGCATTGCAACCTCCCGATCCGCCCTGCTCTGTGCATGACAGGGGGTGGCGCCCCAAATCCCCAATCGGCCCTGCTCTGAGCCTGACCAGGGGCTGCACCTAGGGATTGGGCCTGCCCTCTGCCACTCGGAAGCAGGCCTAAGCCAGCAGGTCGTTATCTCCTGAGGGGTCCAAGACTACGAGAGGGCACAGGCCGGGCTGAGGGATCCCTCCCTACCCCCTGAGTGCACAAATTTTTGTGCACCGGCCTCTAGTAAGATTATAACAGTACCTGAAAAATTCCTATCACCTAGTGACACTCTAATGATTCTAACATTGTGTGATACAAAAGTTGCAAAAGCCAACAGCTGTGGTTGAGATAGCAAATGCCTTAACCTGGGTGTGGAAGAGGAGGACACTGAGGAGCTCCTAGAGGTGGTTTCTGAGGAACTGACTAATGAGAAGTTGTTGGATATGGCACAGGAACGCATAGCTAAAGAAGAAGAAAGAGAAAAGGAAACTGCAGAAGAAAAAGAAACCCCGAAAAAACTGACAGTGAAGGGTTTAGAAACTTTTGCAGACCTCAACAAGCTCCTTAAAAACTTTGAAAACATGAACCTCAACACTGAAAGGTTTCCATTAACAGAGAGGAATGTTCATTATCTGTTTAGAAATAAACTTATGATAAAAAAAATTTTTAAAAAGCAAACCACGATAGATACATTTCTAAAAAGAGTGACACCTCCTCAATAAACACCGCAGGCAGGTCCTTCGGAGGTACTCCAGAAGAAGGCATTGCTATTATGGGAGATGACAGCACCATGGAAGTTATTTATTGCCCCTGAAGACCTATCAGTAGAATGGATGAAATGTAGAGGTAGAAGACAGTGATTATGATTCTGCCTCTGTGCAGGCCTCAGGTAATGCATGTGTTTGTCTTAGTTCTTAACAAAAAAAGTTTAAAAAGTTAAAATAAAAAATTTAAAGAGCTTATAGAAGGATCTAAAGAAAATATTTTTGTACAGCTGTAAAATGTGTACTTTAAGCTACGTGCTATTACAAAAGAGCTGAAAAGTTTTAAAAAATTAAAATAAAGATACAGGAAGCTAAGGTTAATTTATTGGTGAAATAAGCTTTTTTGGTGAATTACGTGTAAAGGGATTACGTCTATAATAGTGTATAGTAACTCCCTAGGCCAGCTATGGGCAAACTACGGCCCGCGGGCCGGATCGGGTCTGTTTGGCTGTTCTATCCGGAGCCGAAAGATCGGAGGGTTCTCTTGCTCTCCCCTCCGCTCCTTCACCAGCAGCAGTGTTAACATGTATTAGTTCACACAAACACTCCATCCATGCTTTTGTCCCAGCCCTCCGGTCTAGTTTAAGAACCCATTGTGGCCCTCGAGTCAAAAAGTTTGCCCACACCTAGGCCTTCACAGTCACTCACCACTTATTCACTGACTCCCAACGAGCAACTTGCAGTCCTGCAAACTCCACTCATGTGTATCATTTCTATCTTCTGTACCATATTTTCACTGTACCTTTACTATGCTTAGATACACAAATACTTGCCATTATGTTACAATTGCAACCGGTGTTCAGTACAGTCACATGATATATTATAGGTCTACAGCCTAGAGCAATAGAGTATTCCAGACAGTCTAAGTGTGTGACAGGCTATAGCCCAGGGATGGCAAACCTATGACACCTGTGTCAGAGTTGACACGCGAACTCATTTTTTTGGTTGATTTTTCATTGTTAAATGGCATTTAAATATATAAAATAAATATCAAAAATATAAATCTTTGTTTTACTATGGTTGCAAAGATCAAAAAATTTCTCTATGTGACACGGCACCAGAGTTAAATTAGGGTTTTTCAAAATGTTGACACGCCGAGCTCAAAAGGTTCACCATCACTGCTATAGCCTGTATGTTTGTACATGAGCGCTGTGTTTGCGCAATGACAAAACTGCCTAATGGTGCATTTCTAAGAATGTACCCCATTGTTAAGTGAAGCCAGATGGTATTTCTCTGTATTCTTAGCACCCAGGACAGTATTTGTCCATCATGTGTTATAGTCCAAAAATAGTAGAAATACAGAAAATCAATATTCTCCCTAAAAATTCTACATTTAAAACAAATTACAGCTTACCCTAGTATCTTCTATGACAAGCCTAATTCTTATTATTCACCCTAACACGTAATTGTGTATTTCCTTACCGTACGGGATCCCAAGGCGCTCTTGCTCTTTCCTGTAACCTTCCAGTGCGGCAGCCCATCTGGTCACTTGTTCCGAGGTTTCATCTGAAATGGTTGTGATGTGTTTTGTGCCATCAAGAGTTATCACTTGAGCTTCTTCAACAAGATGTGCTTCTGCTTCGGCATGATGAGCATCTGGATCAATGACTACTTCAACTGTTTCCGCAGGTTTAACAATTTCAAGGATGTTGAGCTTTGGTTCCATTCCTTTAAAAGTGAATTAAAAAATATCCAGATGAAAACATGAAATTCACTAACAAAACTTAGTTGAGTTCTATATTCTAAAACGGGAGAGCAAAACTCCATTTTAAATGTTGAGCAATCTGTCTAGAGAATTTAACAGAGTCCTATTAAATGATAAAAACAATTCAATAGAACTTTGGAAATCTATATATATAAAGGGCTAATATGCAAAGTGTCCCCTCGGGAGTTCAACCAGGAGAACAGGAATTCGATCGCACAGTATGATGTGCACTTACCACAAGGAGGTGGCACGAAACATGGCGGATGACCAGCAGTGGTGACAAGGCACTGAGGGAGCAAGGGAAGGAGGAAGCGGGGAGGCAGGGAGAACCACGCAGTGGTGGCACATGGGCTTCGAGAGAAGGAAGGAAGGAGGAGACAGGGAGGTGGGGTACCTGATTGGCCCTGATCTCTGGCCAGGCCTAGGGGCCCTACCCATGCATGAACCGGGCCTCTACTCCTAAAGTGCTTAATATGTTAAGTGTCTGATTGTCTGTTCAACCAATCAAAGCATAATATGTTGATAATATGCTAAGGCCGCTCAACCACTCGTTATGACATGCACTGACCACCAGGGACAGACAATTGACTGGTTGACCAGTCGCTATGACATCACTGACCAGCAGGGAGCAGACGCTCCAACCAGTAGGTTTGCTGCTGGGGTCCAGCCAATTGGGACTAAGCAAGACGAGCCAGACATGCCCTGGAGCCCTCCCGTGTCCCTCTCAGTCCCTGTTGTGCACCAGTGGGGTCCCTCGGCCTGGCCTGCGCCCTCTCACAATCTGGGACCCTTCAAGGGATGTAGGAAAGCTGGTTTCTGTCCAATCCCACAGGCCAAGCTGAGCGACCCCACCAGTGCACAAATTCATGCACCCGGCCTCTAGTATTATTTAACAGTGTTGTGTCAATTCATATTTCCTGATTTTGAGCATTGTACTATGGTCATGTAAAAGAATTCCTTATTTTTAGAAAACACATATATTTAGGAATAGAAGGGAAACATGTCTGCAATTAGTAAATAGGTTAAAAAAATGTGGGGGTGAGGAAGAGAATAAAGCAACTTCCTTTGCATAATTTCTCTTTTTGTGCTAAACTGCAGAGTCTAGATCGCCTTGCAGCAAGGGTACCCAATGTGACTTAGGCTCTAGAACAGGGGTGGGCAAACTTTTTGACTCGAGGGCCACAATGGGTTCTTAAACTGGACTGGAGGGCTGGAACAAAAGCATGGATGGAGTGTTTGTGTGAACTAATATAAATTCAAAGTAAACATCATTACATACGGTCTTTTTTTTTTTTTTTTTTTTTAGTTTTATTCATTTCAAACGGGCCGGATCCAGCCCACAGGCCATAGTTTGCCCACAGTTGCTCTAGAACCACTGGTATGAGCCTTCTATTGAGAAATGAATTAAGAAGGGATAAGCAGGCACATGGCATTCATTTTTTGGCTCATGTGGAACACTGAAAAGGAAGCATGGTTCTAGCTTATGGTAGGCAGGGCAATTGTCAGTCCCGCACAGCAATGTGGCCGAGTCATCTTAGAAAGCCAACTAGAACCTGTTCTTCCAGCCCTCTCTGTGATCCTGTGATTTACTACCCTAACTCGCTGATTAAACCAGGTAAAATGTGTGATACTATCTGCTTAACCTTGACAGATAAAATAATTAATTCAAAAGCCTTAATATTTGGTTATATCACATTAAGTAATTTAGACAACCATCTAAAACACCCAAAACTTATATAATTGAATTCTCATATTAGAAAAACATGAGTGCAGTTTTAAATAACTACACAAAAATTAACTTACCTTGGTAAGAAATTACCTGTACACTAAGTTGTACAGTTCCATCTGTCTTTACTCCTTGGTCAAATAAACTTCTTTCTGGATCCAGCTAAATATGGGTAAAAGGACTAAGATTATTTTCACATAATCAACTGGTTTAATAAAAATAGATATATCAAACTATACTTAACCACTAAAGTATACTAATTAAAAGAACACATGTAATTCTTTGCCAAAATTTAAAATATTTTAACCACTGTGTTAGTAATTAAGGACAACATAAAGAACAGAATTTATTTTAAATTACAGTTTTCTCTAGCTCTAGAGTCTAGTTTAGGATTTTAAATAATGCCAAAAAGCAACTGTTTATTCCGTAAAAATATTTAAAGTAGAAAACAATGTAATTTATCTGTCATTAAAAAGCAAGAATATTTATTTAGTGGGGGCAATTTAAATAAATTTATTTATATAACTAGAGGCCTGGTGCATGAAATTCATGCATGGGGGAGGGGGATTTAGTCCCTCAGCCTGGCCTGCATCCTCTCACAATCCGGCACCCCTCAGGGGATATCAGGCCAAAACCGGCAGTCGGACATCCCTCTTGCAATCCAGGGAACTGCATGCACCAGTGACCACACTTTTCATACAGGTGAAAGGCATTTTGCTGTTGTATGGGCAACTACATTTTTTTTTTTGCCCTGATTATAAGAAGTAGTACATAACATGATCCTCCTGAGGCAGTAGCACCATTTCCCCCATCTTATGTGTAGAAAAACTGAAGCAGAGAGAAGTTAAGTAATTGGCTTTGTCACACAGTTGTAAGTGTCAGGATCAGGGCTGACCACAAAATGTGCCAGCCAGAGTCCATGCATGTCATCGCTGCATCATCCTGCTTTTTCAGTGTTAGAGTAGTCTTGCCAGGTTTTAATTTTTAAATCTAAGAGACTATTCACAATATATAGGGTAGGGTCCCTAGGCCTGGCGAGAGATCAAGGCTATCTGTGGGGCAATTGGTGGCCCTGCTGACACCTGCCTTGGCTGGCGTCCTGGCACCACCCACTGGCCGGCCCACCCCCGGACCGGATCGCTGCTGCCGGTCAGCTCCCTCAGTTGGGGCAGCTCCTGAGTTGAGCATCTGCCCCTGGCGGTCAGTGCACGTCATAACTGGTCGTTCCTGCCGGCTGTTTTGCCTTTGGTCAATTTGCTTATTAGGGTTTTATTATATAGGATACTTGCTGTTATCTCTCTTGTAACCAATTATACACATTTAAGGTCAGGGTTAATGCTAAATCTCTGATTACAAAATTACTAAGGGACTTATGACTTTACTACCTGACCTAGATATGAATATTTTTACTCATAATTCTTATCCTTTAAGTATGAGTGCTTTTTCCCCTCATATCACCTTATAGTGAATGCATTTCACACAATGACAAATTGATGACAAAAAGTAATTCTGACTTTCAGATATGCACTTAAATACTAAGATATAAATTTAATAAAAAGATTACCTGAATTTCTTGTAGACAAATTTCATGAGCATCCAAAGAACACTGTAGTCTTGGTTCTAGTAGTTTCTTTAAATTGCCTATTGGCTCATTGATGTCTATGGCCTGGCTTACACATTCAGCTGTGTAGGTCTGTTCTACAATGCTAAATGTTAAATAATTTAATGGTTAAAAAATTACATTTTTACCCTGAAAATTAAAGTAACAATACGCTCAAACCAAAACTGAATATCAAAACACATTTCTGGTCTTTGAAACTCATGTCTGCATAGACACCATTCAGAGTGGTAGACTTATCACCAACTAGTGCTGCCAAAAGACTAAGTCCGAAGTGATATAGTGCTTCTTAAATTAGGCTATGTAAAACCACACTGCAGCTCCCCATCTTGGTGAGCATGCTCTCTCTCTCAGGCCATTTGCCACATCATGAGCAGCCCTACAGAGAAGCCCATGCGGTCAGGAAGTGAACAGTCATATCACCAATCTCATGAGTGATCCTGTAAACAGATATGCTAGCCCCAGTCAATTCTTCAGATGACTATAGCCAGACTGACAGCTTAACTGCAAACACATGAAATACCCTGAAGCCAGAACTAAGGTCTGAGGTAATTTGTTGAATAAAAGAGACATGTAGTCTCTACTGTTTCTTCTGTTAGAGAAAATAGCATAGCGAAACATGTTAAAATTCTCTATCAAAAATATTAAGGCCTCTTGGGCAGTCATGACCTTTTCTGTCAGGAAAATGTTCCTGTGCCAGGGTATGGTGGCAAAGGATATGACCGAGGACAGCTAACGTGGAGTTTTCCTACGAGCTAGAGCCAGACCTCTCCTCTGAGATGAGGAGGTGGTATGAGTGATGACAGCCAGCTGGCAGAAAATATGGAGAGTTGCTAAACAACTAGTATAAATCTCAATTATGCCAGATGAATACATTCGAGAGATCTGTGTAGAACATGGTTCTTATAGTTAAATACACAGTATTGTACATTGAAAAATTTGTTGAGGGTAGATCTCATGTTAAGCGTTTTTACCACAATAAAACAATTTTATTTAAAACCTAAGATCTAAAATCTTAGCTGTACTCTAAACACTCAACATCCTATTCACTTTTATTTGGTCCATTCTCACTGCAATTATTCTAAACTTTTACTATAAAGAAGTTCTCTACTGCTCTTTAGTTCTTTTTACTTTCAGTGTATTATCTCATCTCCTGCTTTACAGAATAAAGCAGGACCATTAGCCCTAACTCTAGCCTTCTTCTTAACTCCCAAATCTCTATTTTTACCCATATTCTCCCTTTGGATTCTGAAGTTACAACCACTGCCCTTCTTCCTTAATAGAGTAATATTCTGTTACGATCCCAAGAACGAACACCCTTCACTGCTCTATATGCTTAGTACTGTGCACATACTTACTCATAAACCTGTATACCTTCTCAAACACAATGTGGCCTCTACAAGGGCAGGTTACTGTCTCATATATACTCCTGACAGTTCACAGTAGTTACATTTAGATATTTGTTGCATTAGTTCAGATTGGGAATTAAACTCTATAGGAAATCAAAATAACCAGCACAAATGAAAGAAAAAATAATCAAACAGTGCCCTGAGGGATAAAAACCATCACAATCAATTGCTTGATTACTAGCTATGCATATTACTATCTTTTTAAAAAATATATATTTTTATTAATTTTGAAGAGGAAGGGAGAGATAGAAACATCAATGATGAGAGAGAATCATTGATCGGCTACCTCCTGCATGCCCCCTACTGGGATTGAGCCCACAACCCAGGCATGTGCCCTTGACCCAAAACAAACCCAGGACCCTTCAGTCCGTAGGCCAATGATCTATCCACTGAGCCAAAACGGCTAGGGCATATTAGTATCTTTTAAAACTATCTTTTCCTCCCAGCTACAAGTTCTTTAAGTCAGAGGAAAAAGCAATACATTATCCCCCAAAATGCTAATGTCAGCTGGGAAAAAAAAGGCCCCAAAAGAACTCTGGCTTAATTCTTAATTTTAATGCATGTGGGTAATATATTAATTCAGATAATACCAACCTTTCTTCTGTGCATTCTGTTTTCTCTGTCCCATCAATTTCAATTTCTATCAGCTCCTCTGCTTCTCTTTTTGTCATGGTTGAAGTACTTCAGAAGCTCAGCCCTGTAAGAGTTAAATTTTAAGACATTTTAAAATTATCTGCACAAAAAGAAATGCTACACAAGAAGTAGAGACCCAATTCAAATAAAAGCAGAGAGTAAGTACAACAAGAGGAAGTAATCTTCACACATAAAAGAAAATCCACATGATACTGATAAACTAGTTTTGGTTTACATGGTGTTTATTAGCCTGACATGAATTCTTCATCGTTCTGTTAGATTTATTGGGATTTGTTCAGCCCAATCTCAGTCAATAAATTAACTCGTTACTTCAAAATCAAATGAAAGGTATGTCAACTATATAATAGCAATGTCAGTCTCAATAACAGATTCAAACCTGCAGCTTAAAAATCAACATAGAGCCCTGACAGGTTTGGCTCAGTGGATAGAGCGTCGGCCTGCGGACTGAAGGGTCCCAGGTTCAATTCCGGTCAAGGGCATGTACCTTGGTTGCGGGCACATTCCCAGTAGGGGGTGTGCAGGATAAAGCCATTCGATATTTCTCTCTCAATCGATGTTTCTAACTCTCTATCCCTCTCCCTTCCTCTCTGTAAAAAATCAATAAAATATATATTTTTTAAAAAAAAATCAACATAGAGATGAACCATTATTGTTTACCTAAAAGCTGTACTGTATTAGCAGGATGAAGAATGTACTTTATTAGCATTGTACTGATAGAGTGATATAAAATTAAAGTTAATTCTAGCTATGATTTGTTACAAATTACATATCTTGTAAGTGCCAGTATAATATTCTAAAACAGCAAAATCAAGTAACAAAATAGTTACCAATATGTACACTGTATTATACTGAACTACTACATTACTGTAGGACTAGAAGAGTCTTCTTTTCCACTTCAGAAAGGGCTATACCTCTCCTCAGGCCTATAATTAGCTGGCACCCAAATCGAGAATGCCTGGTATAAAAATGGTCTTATTTTCCCCACATTATTAAGGTTGCTCCCACGTCCTCTTATAGGAAGACCAGTAAGAGGCTGAGGTTCTCCAGCAGAATAAATACATATAATGAATGCACCTCTAACAGACTGCCTAGGCCAGTGATGAACCTTTTGAGCTCGGCATGTCAGCATTTTGAAAAACCCAAACTTAACTCTGGCGCCGTGTCACATATAGAAATTTTTTGATATTTGCAACCATAGTAAAACAAAGACTTATATTTTTGGTATTTATTTAATATATTTAAATGCCATTTAACAAAGAAAAATCAATAAAAAAAAATGAGTTTGTGTGTCACCTCTGACACGCGTGTCGTAAGTTTGCCATCACTGGCCTAGGCCCTAGCCAACTTTTGCTTTCTTTTGTTCTGTCCCAAGCTTAGCAGAACTTCCCTTTCCCTAATAAAGTCTATTCCTTAACACACTATTTGTAAAATTATGTTATCTTGTGCACTAGATCAAAACAGGTGGTGACCCTGTAGGACAACATAACCTCCACCTGGTTTGAAGGGATATTAGTATGTTTACAGATGTATACAAAATACTTTGAATAGTACCTCACTCTTCGTAGGCACTCTATTTAAAAAAATGTTTTAGAAACTATCATCCTATATAATAAATGCCTAATATGCTAAGTGTCCAGTCGACTGGTCGTTATGATATGCTAAGGTCGTTCAACCGCTCGCTGATGTGCACTGACCACCAGGGGGCAGACAGTCGACTGGTCGACTAGTTGCTATGACAGGCACTGACCACCAGGGGGCAGACACGCCGATTAGACTGAGTGAGACTGGCTGGACATGCCCTGGAGCCCTCCCGCAGTCCATCCCCGGCTGGCCAACCTCCCGTGTCTCTCCCTGGCCCCAATCGTGCACCGGTGGGGTCCCTTGGCCTGGCCTCCGCCCTCTTGCAACCTGGGACCCCTGGGGGATGTCAGAGAGCTGGTTTCAGCCGATCCCGCAGGCCAGGCCGAGGACCACACCGGTGCACGAATTCATGCACTGGGCCTCTAGTCCCCCATATAAAATTGACTCCAGGTCCCCTAAAGCAGTGGTTCTCAACCTGTGGGTCGCGACCCCTTTGGCAGTCGAATGACCCTTTCACAAGGGTTGCCTAAGACCATCGGAAAACACATATATAATTACATATTGTTTTTGTGAGTAATCACTAGGCTTTAATTATGTTTAATTTGTAACAATGAAATTGGGGGTCACCACAACATGAGGAACTGTATTAACGGGTCAGGGCATTAGGAAGGTTGAGAACCACTGCCCTAAAGGCTTAAATGTGAAAGACATAACTATAAAGCTAATAGAAGAAAATAGTGGGGATTCTTTTTATGGTTTAAGAATAAAAAATAATTTGTTAACATTCCAAAAGTTAAACCATAAGAAAAAAACTAATGTATTTGATTATATAAAAATTAAGATTTATGTTCAATAGACAGTATAACGACTAAGAAAAGATATTTTCGATATCCAAAGGTGACAAAGGAATAACTGGAATAGACAGCAAATTCCTGCAAATTGGTAACAATCCCCCAAAAGTCAGGACAAATTAGAAAAGCAGGTAAAGTATAGGAAAAGGGAAGTAACAGAGAAAACCAAAATGGTTAAGGATATAAAGAAATGTTCAAACTCAAATCATTCAAAAATGCAACTTAAAACAAAAACTTTATACCTTGAGTGTGTGTGTGTGAAAAATGTAGTGTTGAATACTGAAAAGGATAAGCAGGGATGTGGAGCCATAAGAATCCTCTGCTTCTGTTGAAGTACAGACAGGTCCAGCTATTCTGGAGAAAAATCTAGATTCTAGCAGCACTTACTCAAATCAAGTACGCTAATACCTGTGACCCAGCACGTGCCCTTAGATAAGCATTCCAGAGATACTGATTGATAAGGACGTTCAGAGTAGCTTGGTTGGGGATAGCTGGAAGCTGGAGCCAATAAAAGTATCCATGGTGCCTTAGCCGGTTTGGCTCCGTGGATAGAGCTACAGACTGAAGGGTCCAGGGTTCGATTCCAGTCAAGGGCACATGCCTGGGTTGTGGGCTCGGTCCCCAGTGTGGGACATGCGGGAGGCAGCCAATGGGTGATTCTCTCTCCTCATTGATGTTTCTCTCTCTCTCTCTCCCTTCCTCTATGAAATCAATAAGCATATATTAAAAAACACAAACCAGTATCCACGGTAAGAAAGTACTGAGATATAAGAAAATGTGAAAGAAGCAGACACCATGAAACTTCAGCAGCAGTTAAGAACAAGGAAATACACACAGAATCAGTGGGCCCTCTCCCTAGGGAGCCCCGGGCGGCTGTGCCTTTCCCCTCCCCCTCTTGGCCCCGGGCAGGTTACCATAACTTCCTCATTCCCAAGCTCCTGGGGCCCTTCCTTCACTTCTATAACTTGTTTCCTAAGCCTATTACTTCTGGGAATTACAGTTTCTATCTCTGTAATATACCATAAACGTTC